AGCATTAAGCAAATCCATGAGAATTTGTGAGATGAACAATCGGACTAGCGATGGTGACAACGATGGATATGCCAATAAACTATACAGAAGCAAATGAATAGAAAGCACTAGAGAAAGAGGAGGTGAAAGACTAGGAGGAGGAGAAGGTGGTGGAGGAGGAGTAAAAGAGGAAGGGGAGAGAGAGAAGAAGCGGGAGGGTTAGAGGGAGGAGGAGAAGTAAAGGAGGAGGGGGATAGATAGAGGGAGGAGGAGGAGGACCAGGAGCAGCAGCAGGAGAGAGAGAGAGAGAGAGAGAGAGAGAGAGAGAGAGGACCTTTGTTACCACCTATCGTCGTACATTATATAGATATTTAACGATAAAATATCAGGAATGAATTTCGTTCTATTCAATTCTGATAACATTCCTATATTAACATATTACAATTCTATTGTAGTCGCTGGATATCTTCTGCTGCCAGGCTACTATAACACATCATGACGACGAGTCACGTACCTTCGCGACCGAGGAATTCTGCACGTTCTTTTGTCGTGCGTCGCCCGCAAACCTCGGCCGGAACGAGTCGACGGGGCCCTGCGGCTGCACCGAGTGGTCGGCGTGGAGACTCAGGTACTTGAAAGGGATGCAGACCGTCTCTTTGGGTCGCAGGAAGACGTGCGTGCAGCGCGGGTTACCGGCGGCAGTGTTGAACATGTTTTCTTCTATCGGCGAGTGAACGTCGAACAACTGTTTGTAGTGACGCCACTCACGCGTGTCCGTAATAACGCTGACAACAAACAACAAACAATAAATAACAACAACAACAATAATAATAATAATAATATTTTTTTAAACTTCTGCTCCAAAAACCATTCCATGATGAGTAATGGTGTCGTGGAATAAAACTGTCCAACCCCGAAAGGGAAAACGGACATTAAAAAGAAATTTTTTATTATGTAATAACAGAAATAATAATAACATTAATATTATTAATAATAATAATTTATTGTTTATTTTATTGTTCGTGTCACATATAAATATTTTCACATGTGCATTATAATTAGTTAGGAACACTACCAATCATATATGTGTAGGAGATAGAGAAGTGGAGAAGGGAGAGGAGGAGAGGAAGGAATCTAACATCGCTCTACCCTCGTGTAAAGCTACCAACCTCACTCTCATAGAGCAAGAGTAGCTTTGCTGGGTGAATCATGTTACAGAAACCAAAGCAACATGGCTGCTGTGGAGGTCTACGGACATAAAGGACAAAAAACAACATCAAAAAACAGCACCTAATTGCGGTTAAAAAACGCAAGAAAATCATACCTAATAAGAAGAAACCTACCTAGAAAACCAATAAATAAATACCTTGCGCCTACCTGAGATAAAAAAAAAAAGGCATGCTGGCCTACCAGATGCTTAGAAAAATAAATAAAAACCTTGTGCCTACCTGAGATTTTTTTTTAAGTCAACCAAAAAGACACGTTGGCCTACCTGAGGTTTTCGTCATCACACTCGATCGAGATCGTTTGTTCGACATTGTACGGGTTCCGCAACATGAACTCAAAGAATTCAACACTACCCAGCGATGGATAGAGGGCGTACTTGACGGTGATCGACGCCGCCAGCATGCCGAGGATGCCCGCTTGTTTCGTGCGCTGCCGGTAGAGGGCGACGGTGTGCAGGTCTCGCGACCGCTCTACCTTCTCATGGCGCGCCACCTGGTGGTCAGAAAGAGCATTCTTGTGTTATTGTTGTTGGCGATTTGGTCCAATGAGTGGGGCAGGGGGGTTCTCTGCCTCCACCCTTCCTCCATCAATCACTCAATAGGGTTTGGTGAAGTCATTTCCATCTTTCCACCCTCTCTCCCTCCATTTCTCCCTACCACCCTCCATCTCTTCATTTCCCCTCCCTTTATATTAACCGTTCTTCTTGTTTCGCTCCACCCCCCTCTCTTCTTCTCTACCTCCCTCCCCGCTCCATCGCTCACCAGGCTCGGGTGTGGAGGCTTTTCTCGCTCCCTTCCTCTCTCCCTTTCTTCCCCCCCCTCCTGCCATCCATCACTCATCAAGCTTGGGTGTAGGTGACCCTTTCTCTCCTTCCTTCCTGGCTTCCACTAAACACCAGACTTGGGTGTGGTTGCTCCCCTCCCTCCCTCCCTCCTCTCTCCCTCCTCCCCTCCCTCCCTCACCAGACTTGGGTGTGGTTGCTCCTCTTCCTCCCTCCTCCACTCCCTCCCTCCTCCTTCCTCCCTCCTCCACTCACCAGACTTGGGTGTGGTTGCTCCCCTTCCTCCCTCCTCCCTCCTCCCTCCACCACTCACCAGACTTGGGTGTGGTTGCTCCCCTTCCTCCCTCCTCCCTCCTCCCTCCACCACTCACCAGACTTGGGTGTGGTTGCTCCTCTTCCTCCCTCCTCCACTCCCTCCCTCCTCCTTCCTCCCTCCTCCACTCACCAGACTTGGGTGTGGTTGCTCCCCTCCCTCCTCCCCTCCCTCCTCTCCTCCCTCCACCACTCACCAGACTTGGGTGTGGTTGCTCCCCTCCCTCCCTCCCTCCCTCCTCCCCTCCCTCCCTCCTCCCTCCACCACTCACCAGACTTGGGTGCGGTTGCTCCCCTCCCTCCATCTGTCGGACCACCGTCATGCGCGTGAGCTTCCTCTGTCGCTCGGCTTCTCCCTCGTTGTTCACCTCCTTCAGCACTGCACCCGGGTCTCTCCGCTGCGCCAGCGCCGTTGCCAGCTCGCGGTCGACGCGAACAAGTGAACGTGCCTGCGACACTCTCGCTTTCTTACCTGCGCACAAAATCGAAACCTCTGCGTGTTTGACCTTTGACCGCCCGTCGTTAGCCGAGTTTATTTGACGATGGGTTATTAGACGGTTAATTAGTCAATTATGAGAATTAGTAGTGTGAAGTTAATTACGCAGCTGCGCATAGTATTACATTGCAATTCCACAGATTCAGAATCTTTATTATTCTTTATTACACACTCTATAAGCATCTAATAACGCACATCTAAAATAAGAATTTGAAGGTTCATGGAAGGAATATATATGTACATGTGTGCCTGCATGCGTGTTTGGTCTAATCTGTGTTAGTGTTCAATCAGATGAGGTTGGCAACATCAATAAAACTTATTCCCGTCTATAGAGGCAGGGCCGGACTAGCGATCGGGAGCACCAGGAGCTTTCCCGGTGGCCTGCCTGGCCTGCTAAGTGGCCTGCCCCAAAAAAGTGGCGTGCCCTGCAGGCCGTATTATTATAGGTGGGGTGGAGCGACGTCACTTTTAATTAAAAAGTGGCCTGATTGGGGCTATATTTCGCGCTATATTTCCCAGCCTGAATGATTTTCCCAGTCCGGCCTTGTATAGAGGTATACGTTTGGCATATCCCCTGAAAGGCAGTTAGACATTGAAAGCACCTTTAGAACAGACAACTCTCCATAAAGGACTACAGAACACTTTGGGGTTTCCTTTAAGTGACAGGACATGTTGTCAGAAACATTGTAAGTGGTTATGACCTCATAAGACTAAAATATCATAACATTTGAAATTAAAGTGTATTGCAAAACTTACGCCATTTTAGACAATAGTAATAACTATCAATAATGTTCCTGACAATGAGCCACAGATTTACATACAAACGCGCACGCACATGCGCACACACAGACGCACGCACGCGCACGCGCACGCGCACACAAACACACACACACGCAGACACACACACACACTCACGCACGCACTCACGCACACTCACACGCGCACTCACACACACTCACACACACACATATACATGCATGCTGAACTTATATGCGGTTACCAATCGAATTCTCGGTTCCCATGATGGTCGCATGCTTAGTTGGTGTTTCTGAGGAGATTATGCGTTGCTGTACATAGTTAATGTCACCTGCAAAAGTAAAAACACATTCAGTAGTGTCACACCTGCGCAAACCACCTGCGCGCCGTCTGCCTGCTGCCTGTCACGTTAAGCTCCGACATCGACATCCCAATATTAGTTTTTTTTTGTCAACCTGAACCGTCACTTCTGTTCCAGCACTTGTCCACCTCTTAAAGATTACAATTCCGTGATGCATTTCTGTCAACGATCTTCTTGTAACATTAACATTAGTCGTAAGTGCTATCTTGGCATTAACATTAGCATTAACTTTACGAAGTTTCTGACAACGGGCCCCTGGACTCCAATTCTGATTATCGATCCCAACTCAGTTCCCAACTTGAATTTACGTAACCCGTTCTGCCTTAACGAGAAAACTGCGTTTTATCTTCATTGAACATTGTTGCTAAGCTGACCACAATCACCCAGTTTGTACATGTTGTATTGTGGTATTGTTGCATTGTTGTACATGTACATGTTGTACATTGTTGTATGTTTGTCAGGCACGCATGCCAGACTGTCGACTTTGCAGCACTTTGCTGCCATGCATAGTTTGAGAATGCCTTTATTCGCACCTAGAATGCTTAGAGCTGCCTGTGAATCACGTACATGTGATATGTAAATCACATACACGCATGCACGCACGCACTCACGCGCGCCCGCACGCACACACACACCCACACACGTTATCCACATTGGCAACAAAATCCAATAACAAGCGAGATGTAAGTATGTAAATTCCAACTCAATTTGATCATGGGTTCTAATTCCAACTGTCACTTTAACACTGCAGACACACTTCGGAAACACCTGCTCGCGCCCATTCCAACACTGACTCCCGTATGATTACAAATATCAACACCTAATTCCGCTGCAACCCTCATCCGGCACACATTCCGGCTCCAATCCACTGACACACCAGATTGCAACTAAAAACTTCTGATTCCGATGCATTCCGGCTTCAATCCAATTAATACTCCCGATCGCAACTCCGACTTCCGATTCCGATTCCAGCTACAATGCAATTAATACTCCAGATCGCAACTCCGACTTCCGATTCCAGCACGACACTCACCCATGGCGAGGGTGCGGGTGTCAACGGTGTGTCCGATGTTGGCAAGCCGAAGATGCAGGCGACCGCGCAGCGCTGTGTGGGAGCCGAGCGGATGCACGCCGCCTCCGCCGCGAGTCATCGTGAAGCCCCGCGGGTCGTCAGCATCCTCGGCGTGCTCCGTCGTCACGACGTCGAGCTCGTGCGACACCTGCGCGGCGACGCGGCCCTGCCTGCAGAGATGCTGCGACCGGGAAAGAGAGAGAGAGAGAGATGAGGTGTGGGAGAGAGAGAGAGAGAGAGAGATGAGGTGAGGGAGAGGGGAGGGGGGAGAGAGAGAGAGAGAGAGAGAGAGAGAGAGAGAGAGAGAAAGAGAGAAAGAGAGAGAGAGCGAGAAAGAGAGAAAGAGAGAGAGAGCGAGAGAGACAGAGAGAGATGAGATGAAGTGAGTGAGGTGGGAGGAGGGAGAGGCCTGCGTTCGTGCGTGCGTGAGGTCGTGGGTGAGAGCGTTCGTGCGTGTGTGCGTTCGTGCGTGCCTTCCTGCATGCGTGCGTGCGAGCGTTCGTGCGTACGTGCGTGCGTGTGTTCGTGCGTGCATGCATAAGTGCGTAGATGCTTGCGTGCGTGCGTGCCTGCGTGCGTGCGTATGTGCGTGCATGTGAACTATGCTACCATAAACACTGCGAATCTGTAGACTTTACTGAAAGGTCGCCATACCTCGTTCGATAACAAACAAGCAAATTTAAGTTACATTACATTAATTAGCTCCATAAACACACACATTTCTTTACTAACACATGAACATAGAATTGAAC